GTCCCCGCAGGAGAGAGGCGGTGGGGGGACAGCCAGTGCAGAGCTCTGTGAAGAGCCCCTCCTTCCTTGCCAGGCATCAGTCCTGCTTATTGGACCCCCACTCTCTGCTGGAATTGCTCCATGTCTGGATCCCTCAAAAACATTCGCCCTGCCCTGGGAGGCCAAATGCAGCAAGAGGGACACTGAACTGCTCCCCTCCCCATCAGGGACAGCATCTGGGAAGGTCTTCAGCCTTTTTTGTCATTGTTTTTTGTCATTTCACCATGGACAGTGCCTATTTTGTCAGCTGTACTTAAAGTCTACAGGATCGGAGCGTCCTAGGGAAATCCGGCTGCCCGTCCCGATCTGCACATCGCACATACCAGCTTGCTCAGCAAAAGGAGATTCACAAGTCTTCTGCCTTTCCCCCAGCAGCCACACAGGGGCTCCAAATCCTCCAAAATGGTGTTCCAGCCACCGCCCCCCAACAACTCCCTCCTTCCACCCACCCCTTCCCCACCTTTCGGGTACAGTCCAGGTGTCCTGGGCTGGGTGTTTCAAACTGCCTGAACCTGGGTTAGGGAGGCAGGGTTGGGGGCCAGGACGGTTCAAAACATAAAAGGTTAAGAGGCTAAATGCAAACCTTGCAAATGTGGATCTGTTTTCTTTCTTAGGCTGGACAAGCCAGTCAGATACTGAAGCCAGGTGGCCCCAGCCTCTAGTCCAATTGCCCTGCCTGTGATCAGAGATCACCACGGTCACCCCTCTACCCCGGGTGGGGCCTGTTCTCCTCTCCTGCAAACCCCTTGTGGAATGCAGTTCCGTGGAATGCAATGCCCTGGCCTGCAGGGTGGTAAGACCATGCCCCCAGTCGGGTTCTCAGGGCCATCCCAGTCCCGGCCCTTTCTCAGAGCCTCGCCGCATCCCTCCTTCCATCGACATGGCTCTCCCCCTCTGCCTTCGCTTCAGCCTTCTGCTCCTTCTGGAAGGTCCTCCCTGCTGTCCTCCAGGGGCCACAAGCATACTGAAGACTCAGTTCCAAAGTTACCCCTCCCAAGAAACCCTTTATAGAGGCCACTCCTAGGCCACAGGCTTGAGCAATGGAAACCTGAGTGGGCTAGAAGGGCCTACAGTGACCTCCCAGCTGACTGCAAACGTGACCCACCTGGAAAAAGCCAGAGGCCCTAGCTGACCGATGGGCTACTTACAACTGGGCACAGGTACCGTAAAGGGGAAAATTCTATAGTTCCCACACCTCCTCACTTCCCACCACCACTGCCCCCTAGCAGACAGTCTCTCCTCTACTGTCCTGCCTGCTGCTTCCTTGCAGTGTAGTCAATCACCTTCTATCTCCTTCGTTCTGCCTTGGTGAGTTCTTTAATACCCATGCCACTGGCCCCCGCCAGATTAGGACGCCTCACAACCTTTTCCCGTCATCCCACTTCTTACCCTGTCCTAGGCCCTTAGGAGGCACAGATGGTGGAGCAGAAAATGGGCACCGGAGTGTCTGGGTGGCTCAGTGGGTTAAAGCCTCTGCCTTTGGCTCAGGTCATGGTCTCAGGGTCCTGCGATCGGGTCCTGGGATCAAGCCCCACATCCATCGGGCTCTCTGCTCAGCGGGGAGCCTGCCTCCACCTCTCTCTCTGCCTTTCTCTCTGCCTACTTGTGATCTCTGTCTGTCAAATAAATGAATAAAATCTTAAAAAGAAGAAGAAGAAGAAGAAGGAGGAGGAGGAGGAGGAGGAGGAGGAGGAGGAGGAGAAGAAGAAGAAGAAGGAGGAGGAGGAGGAGGAAATAGGTACCACCTTCAGAGTCAGACAGACTGGAGTCGGGGGGTGGCAAATACAGTCTCCACCATCCTATGACCTTGGGCCAAATACTTCACTTTATGAGCCTGGGACTTCTGCCCTGTGGAATAGGGCTAACCAGGATGTGAGGCCCCAGGGAGGGTGGCCAGGTGGCCAGTCATTGCTGACTCCCGGCACCTGCCTGCCGATGCCCCCACAGCACCGTGCACACCCCTGCAGGGGTTCTCACGCTGGCCTGCCTCCCCAAGGAAGGGTCCAAACTCCTCCAAAACAAGACCTCAGCCCTCCATACCTTTGCACCTCTGCACAGTCTTCACTCTCAACACTTCTGACGCCAAATGTGTGGGGTCTTTCCCCACCAACCACCAATCCTCCCTCTCTCCGGTGTCCTGCAGTTCAGTTCAATTCTGACACAACTACGGGGAGCTGACATTAGTCCTGTAACGCTGTCCAAACTTCAGACGCCAGTCGCACACATGGGCTGCCCAGGGTATCCAAACTGCTGTCCGACTTGGCTACAAGGTCAGGGGTTCCTACTACGACACCCCACCTTCAGTTTCAATAATTTGCTAAAAGGGCACACAGAATTCAGAAAAACAATGTACTATGGTTGGTTTATTATAAAGTATACAGATGAACAGGGTCCAAGGTCCCCAGCAAAGGAGCTTCTGTCCCCATGGAGTTGTGGTGCACCATCCCCTAAACAAGTGGACATGTTCCCCAACTCAGAAGCTCTCTGAACCCCATCATTTAGGGGTTTCTATGGAGGCACAGAGGCATGATTAACGAACTGGGTAGTCATTGTGATTAAATTAATCTTCAGGTCCTCTTCTCCCTAGAGGGGGGCATGGTCCTGAAAATCCCAACCTCTAGATCCGTGGTTGCTTCCTCTGGAACAATCTGACCCCACCCAGAAGCTATCTTGGGGCCCGGCAAGAGTCATCTGATTAGCATAAACCCTGGCGTGGTCCAAAGGGGCTTGTTATAAACAAACAAACGAACAAACAAACCAACTGCTCCTAGTGATGAGGGAGCAGAAGGCTAGTTGAAGACAAAGCATACACCGACACCCTGTAACCTCCCCCCTTCCTCCACTCCTGGGTGGGACATGTGTGACATTTGTACAGGGATCTATCAACTATCTTAATGTTCATACCTTGCTGGGGATGGGAGGCAACATTAACTTGACAAAGGCATGACTTCTGGTATCTGGTGTCCTGTAAGTCGGTCCTCTTTAACATGTGAAAGTTCTTTTGAAACATTTTCTTTACTTCCCCCAAACCCAGATTCTATAATCAGCCACTCCTCAGGACCCAGGGCAGCAGCTCTTTCTGCCCACGGGTCCTGTCCCGATGCTTTAATAAACCACCATTTTGCTCCAAAGATGTCTCAAGAATTCTTTCTTGGTCATTGGCCCTGAACTTCACCCCACCGAACCTTACCTATATTCCAAAACCACATCACTATCACCCCTATTACCCAGGAAATTCCAAGAGTTTCAGAAGCTCTCATGTCCAGAACTGGCCACAGGTCGATGTTAATAACAAAATTCAACCAAGTGAATTTGAGGATCTAATTGGCTTTATTAAATGATTTTTCGGACTGGACAGCAGCAGAGCGGCACTCCGAGGCATTGTACAAAATGGGAGATTTTTATAAATGGAGGGTGGGGGCAAGAAAATTTTTAGGGGAAAAAAAGGGATCTCTCCCATGGAGGTTGTTTGCTAGGGGAAAAACAAGGTATCTTATCATGTGGATTGCCTTATTTTTTGTTGGGCATAGGGTGGGAGGGACAGGACCCCGGGTGACAGATTTATTGGTGTTGCTAGAAAGAAATATTTCCTGACTGACCAGTTAAAGCCACATTTCTGGGGGAGGTTGAAACTGCATTTAGTTTGGGAATTAATCCCCAGTTTGGGAACTCACTCATTTGGGGCCTGCAGTTTTCTTTCTTTAACACCAAATGTATACATGCATACATATATATATATGCAAGCATGTGTGTGTATATATATATATATATATATATATATATATACATACACATATATATGCATGTGTGTGTGTGTGTGTGTGTGTGTATTCAAGATTTTTATTTATTTTAAAGAGAGAGCATGTGGGAAGGGGGGAGGAGCAGAGGGGAGGAAGGGGTTAAGACTCTCAAGCAGACTTCCCGCTGAGTGCAGAGGTGGATGCCTGGCTGGACCTTGAGATCACACCTGAGCTGAAACCAAGAGTCCCAGGTTAACCAACTGAGCCACCCAGGCACCACCCACCAAATATATATTTATATCACGATATCACGGGTCCTCACTGCGGTAGGTCTGTTTAATGAAGAAAGCACGGTGTTCTGAGCCTGCCTCACCTTGTCCCAAGGGCACCCAGCACTGAGCACCCTTTGGAGGTGGGCATCGAATGTGAGCAGGGATTTTAGACCCCCAGCTCCATCGTGGTTTCGGGTAAGCCCAGTCTTCCCCCTTCTGTGAAAGAGGCGTACTTGCACCCCTGTGCCTCAGGCATGCGAAGGGTAAAGAGCATGGCAGATGGAGGTGAAGGGCATGGCAGAGAAAGGAAGAGGGTCGGGTAAAGGTGGCCGCCTTGGCCTACCACTCGGACACGAAGGTCTGGGGGCTGGGAGAGGACCTGGCAGGACGGTCCTGAGGACCTGTTCCCCTCCCGACCACCGCCCGCCAGGCTTGCCCTCTGCCTCAGCCAGACAACATGCCTCCAGAAGGCACTGGCAAGGAAAAGCGTCATGGCGCTAGCCTGGCACATGGGAGGCTTGGACACTAAGCGCCAAAGCTTGGTGGCTGGGCCGGCAGGAGGATGGGGAGGAGTGATGGGCAGCAGTTAGAGGGGACTCTCTGCAGGGGTCTGGGGGCGAGGCGAGCTCTTCTGGGTCCCGGGGCACAGGCACTGGAGACCACAGGGGCCGGCCCCCCGGGGGAGAAGGAGCACGCGCAGCAGCCGGGAGGCCAGCGCGGACGTCGCACGGGGCTGCGGGCGCCTCGCCCGGTCTACCTGTGCAATGCGCGCAGGCCCGCAGGTGCTCCGCGTGCGTGGGGGGACGTCTGCTTGGAAGGGTTTGCAAACCCGGAAGCGTCTGCGGGGCGGGGCGGGGCCAGGGCGGGGCCGGGGCGGGGCGGGGCCGGGCCGGGAGGCGGAGCTCGGCCTGCGGCCCCTCCGAGCCCGGACTCGCAGTGGCCGCGGCGGCCGGGGAGGCAGCGGCGGCGGCGGCGTGGCGGCGACAGTAAGTGCGGGCCGGAGGTCGGGCGCGGACCTGACCCCTGCCTGGCCGGCTCTTCAGGCTCCCGGCCGCCTCCTAGTCTCGCACTTTGGCGGCTTCCCCCGAAGAGCCCTTCTGGGGGCTGCTCCACGGGAACCGGGCAGGGTGTCGGGGGGTGGGTGCAGTTCAGCCCCTCCACTGCGGCCCCTCTGACCTCTCTCTGTATCTTTCCCCATCAACCCCCCCTCTAACTCCTGGCTCCCCCCGCCACCCCCGGCTAATTTTTCCCTTTCTGGGTCGCTATGCTTTTTCTCCCCCAGATTCTCTCCCCTCCTCTTCCTCCTCCTCATGGATTTCCTGACACGGGACCTCACTGCCTGGTTGTGGGGGGCCTGGATATGGGCCAGTCAGCCCAGAGTATCCAGAGGGTGGCTGACTCCTAGTTCAGATTGGGGGAGTGTGAGGCTGGGGATACCTCCAACCCCAAAGGCCATACTGCCATGCTGTCTGGGTGGCACCCTGTGTTCCCCAGCTATCCTTTACCGTGGCTTAGCATCACCAGCTCCCCATCCTCATTTCACAGATGAGGAAATCGAGGCACAGTGGGGGACATCGACTTAGCCAGAGTCAGAAGCCTCTGGGGAACCAGCCCCCAGTTCCAGATGGTGGTCTGAAGCAGGGAGGGACACCACACATTTCTGTTTCTTTGTGGGGGTGCTGCCCCTTCCCACAAGTCACCCAGGAAGGGAGCTCCGCCAAGCCTGGCCAACTCCTGCAGGTGACTGAGGGGTACACAGCAGGCAGTGGCCAGCCCACGCTGGTGACACCAGGGCTCTTCCTTAGCTTTCTTTTTCCTTTCTTTCTTTTTAATCCAAACGCCAGCAGCTAGCTTTTATAAAGAGTAATAAGACTTTGCTCACTTCAGTGCCCTGGCCTGTGACCCACGTTAGAGAAAATTTCTGGCTCCTTCTTCAGAAGCTCAGTCAAGGCTGAATGGTCCTGGACAAATACATGCCTGGAGATGAGAGTGAGCTGGAGTGACCCCGCTGCGGGCCCCTGCCCCCACCCCTGTGGCTGGAGCATCTGGAAAGAACCACTCGTTCTCTGCCTGTTGTCTTACATGGGTCGTAGTTTTTACATTTCTAAACACTAATTGAAAAATGTGTGTGTGTGTGCACCTGGGCAGGCACACTGTGTGTGTGCCCACACTGGGTAGTTTGCTAGAGCTGGACTTCCTGTGCAGCAAGGCTAGGAAAGACCACCTGCTGCTCAGCCAGGGGAGCTGGAAGATAGACTTGCTGGCGGGATGTTCAGGCGTCCAACAGCCTCTTCCCTGCCCGCTCGGGGGTACATGCTCCAAGGGAGAGCATATGCTGACGGCCCAGACAGAGCCCATTCATTCAGCAAATACTGGTGAGGGTGCCCTGCATCCTCTTCGCCTCTGCTCACAGCTCACTGTCCATGAGGTCTTCTAGAAGGAGGTCTATACTTGGAGCCAGCAGACATGGGTTCCCATTGCCAGCCAGCCTCCTCTGCTGGGTGGGCCTGGACTGCTTGGCTATATAACCTTGTCCTTGCCATTTGGCTGCTGTATGACCTTGGCCCAATGACTGAACCTTTCTGAGCCTCACTCTTCATCTGGGAAATGAGTCTTAGGGTAGTACCTATCATGTTGTGCTATTGTCAGGCTCAAGTGCGAGGCACGGACCTTGGCATTGTGTGAACACCAGAATTTATTTTAGCTATTGGGAATTCTTAACTGTTTGAATGTGGGGCAAATCAACTGCCTTCAAGGCTTCATTCTTTGCCTCTGAAAAAAGGAGGCACTAATTCCTGTCCTGCTTAATTCCAGGGAATGTTGCGAGGCTCTCCTGAGATAACAGAGAAGGCTCTGTGCCTTTGTGACGGGGTGTTCCCATCTCCCCAGGGAAGGAGGGCTGGATACTGTGAGTTAAGGGTCAGCCTCCGATGGGAGCCACGTTGATTTCTGGATGAACTGGGGAAAATCTATTGCAGGAAAGACTACAATGTCCCCTCCTCAGCTCAATGGAAGTACTGCTCATTTATCACGCTGCCACCATGTCCTAGGTGCCACATAGAGCGTGGAAACAGGCATGCTACTTGTAGTCAAATTCAGCAGCCAGCCAGCCAGCCAGGTGACAAACCCAGGATGGCAGGGAAGACACTGACGTTCATGCAGCAGCTGCTACCATGGGCCAAGCACTGCCAGCCAGTTTCAGTTACATAATCATCATAAAAAGGCCTCCCTGGGTTTACAGATGGGGAAATTGAGGCTCAGAAGCAGGGTGACTTGCCCAAGGTCAGGTAGGCAGTAGTTCCTAGCAACCTAAAATTTCAGTTAGTTTAAGGTGCTGTCACAGATTGGGAGTGGTTGTCTCCTGGTGGGATGTGAGGGACAGAGGTGGCGACCCGGGCAGGAACTACACACCCAGGCTTGGCCATGGACCTGGTTTGTGACCTTCTGCTCTTCAGACCTCTGCTTCCCGAAAATTAAATGAGGGAGTGGACTCTTGGATCTCTCAAACCAGCTTCTGAAGGCAGCTCTAGACACCATGGTTTTAGTGGTTTTTTAAATGTAATTTCATTGGAATGCCTTTATTTTTATTTATAATTTTATTTCTCAACACGTAACACCTTCACATAGTTCAGAATTCAGAAGGCACAGAAGAGGAGGCAGGGAAGACTCCTCCCTCCCCGTTACCCCCAGCCTCCTTCCTCCTTGTCCCCAGCCTCCCTCCCTGGGGCGACAACTCTGAAATTTCCCGTGTGTCCTTCCAGAGGATATTCTCCCCCCACCCACCCCAGCCCTGCCTGCTTTTTTGCACAAATAATTACATATTCTGCGCACCTTCCTGCTCCTTAATTTTTTCACATAAATTTGAAAAGAGTTTGGAGAACATGCTTTGCCTGTCAAGGGTCCTAATTCCTTTTTTTATGGCTCCATAGACATTTGAAGGCCTTGAGCTCGGGTTTACCCTTCTGGATCGATAGCTAGAGGTCCCACTGTGCCATGTGGCCTACTTTCGGCCACCCCACAGCGTGTTTGCTACCTATGTCACCCTGCCCGGGGACGGGACGGATGCTCTGGTCACTTACAGTTCTGGTATCCTGTCTTTCTCCCCGATCCTTAAACCTGAAGCCCTCTAACCTTGCTTTGGTGACCCATGGTGGGGGCAGAGTCAGCTCTGTGGGGCCAGCTGAGTCCCTAGCTAGGCCCAGCCTAAGCTTCTGATCGCCTGCCCTGTCTCTGTGTCTCTCTGCTCCAGTCATGGCCATGGCCTCCGAGGATGACTTCCATCACAGTTCGAACTCCACCTACAGAACGGCAAGCAGCTCCCTCCGCACAGACCAGGAAGCACTGCTTGAGAAACTGCTTGACCGCCCCCCGCCCGGCCTGCAGAGGCCCGAGGACCGCTTCCACGGGGCCTACATCATCTTCTTCAGCTTGGGCATCGGCGGCCTCCTGCCGTGGAACTTCTTCATCACTGCCAAGGAGTACTGGGTATTCAAGCTCCGCAACTGCTCCAGCCCAGCCTCGGGGGAGGAACCTGCGGGTTCGGACATCCTGGTAAGGGCGCGTGTGTCCTGAGAGTAGGGAACAGCTGGATGGGGCGACGGTACTTGGGTGTTCCGTTCCAGGATGGTTTACAGCCTGCTGTGAATGTGGATGCAAACCAGTGCATTGTGTGGAGCGCAGTAGACAGACCTCAGTCATGACACATGTTTTATGCAGTGCAGCCTGCGGCCTGCTTACTGTTTAACTTGGGCAGCAGATGCAAGTGGGGAACCTAAGAACCCAGAGTTCATGACTCCAGGGATTTGAAAAGGTGGCTCTGATAGCAGTAAGTTCAGCTCTTCCAGAAAACTCCCCCAAAAGCAGTGGTAAAAGAGATGGAAGCTCATTTTTCTCTCATGTTCAAGTCTGGAGGGGCCAGCCGAATGCTGGTATAATGTTCCATGTGGTCAGGAACCTCATTGCTCCACCATGTAGGGCTTCCATGGTCAAGGTCACTTCACAGTCCCAGATGGCTGTTGGTGCTCCAGCCATCACAGCAAGAGGAGGAGAGGCATGAGAACATTCCAAGAAGTAACACAGATTGCTTATGCTTCCATGGCATTGGGCAGAACTCGGTCACGTGACCACATGATCTGCAGAGGGGCCTGCAGAATGTAGCCTTTAGATGTAGTCATTATCCCAGAGAACTGTGTGCCCAGCTAAAATGGGAGGTTGTACAAGCTGTGGGAGACTGGGGGAACAAAGACCGGGCTATCACTAGTCTTGTCACCAGGGGAGAGATTACTGTGACTCAGAGCAGGTGGCCTACAAGGGAGGGGATCTTCCAGGTGGGAGGGAAAGCCTGAGCAGAGGCAGGATGGGGGGACGCTCAGGTGTGTGAGGGGCAGTAAGGCACTGGGTTTCCTATATGCGGGGTGCATGTAAATAAGGCTTGAGATCATTGCCTGGATGCTGAAGTCATTGCTTGGGCCTTGAATGCCAAGGTGAGGCATGGGAACTGTGTTCAGTGGGCAATGGCACCACTCCCACCTCCCGCCGTCAGGGCTGCTCCCTTTGTGGCATGACTTTTCCCTTGGGCGGGGGCAGTGTTAAAGACAGAAATTACTCTACCGCTCGTTAAAACATAAGGAAGGCTGTACTCAAGGCTGTTGCAACAAGGAAGAGAGATCGGCTCAACTCCAGATACTGCAAGGACATGGGGGGTTTATAGCCGTGGAGCAGAGTGAGAGCTCCGTGGATGGAAAATGAGAGGAATTAGTGGATGGAAAAAAGAGGAGCCATCAAGAGCAGGGGGCTTCTTGCTAAAGGCAGGTCAAGGGCATGCACACCAGGGGCTGGGGATGAAGAGCTTGCCCAGATTCCGATGGTGGTCGGATATCTAGGGTCGGGGGGCTTCTCCATAAATGGACTCAGCAGGATTCTTGCTAGGCCTGGGCTGGGCAGGTAGAAGACAGGATGGAGGCCACGGTCAAGGCCTAGTGCAGGAGAGGTCTCCGAGGTTCAGGTAATCTCTATCCGGAGCCTCAGTGTCCACAGCTGATCCAGTCTGTGTCTCCTTTCTCTTGGAAGCTCATGGATGGGGAGAGTGTGGGCATCTCTGAAAGCACTCCAGGCTGGAGGGTTGCCAGCTGCCCTCTCCTCCGGACAAGAAGAGAGAACCCTAGCAACCCTAGCCATACCCCTTGACTGGCCCAGGCAGTGGCCCACCACCCCTTTTCTGAAAGCACCTTTGAAATCCCTGTCCTAAGCACAAAGAACTCTCCCCAGTCTTGTAGGGATAAATCCAACACACTGACTGGAGCGTCCCTACTGTCTATCTCAGGGACCATACACGGCCACACATCGCACTCACACAGGGAGTTTTTAAAAATCCCAGTCTTAGCCCCACCACAGGGCTTGTGATTGAACTAGGCTGAGGTGTGGGAGGGACAGAGGTATTCCAAGACTTCGCACTCCCTCCTTTGGCCTCAGGCCCTTGGTTCTGACACCCTGCCAAGGCCTGTTTCTGCCAACTCAGGGATTCGAAGACACCTCCCAGGGCCAGAGCAGTGCATGGCCAAAGAGGGGTCCTGGGAAGGGGGTCAGGACTTCAGAGCCTCCTACCCAAGGTGTGTTCCCTGGACCAGCATCACCTGGGAGCTTGTTAATGACACGAGCCCCACTGCAGACCAGCTGAGTCAGCAGCTACCTGATACCAAGCCCCCCGGGTGACTGCCAGGCCCTTTAGAGTTTGAGAAACACTCTCCAGGGCGTGGCTTCCAGCCTACGGCTTGGGCTCCAACCTGCCTTTGCCAGCGCCTCACTCTCTGGCCTCCGGGCGGCCTCGTCTTCCTGGCATGGAACAGGAGGCTGCTACTACCACCAGCTTCTTAGGGTTGTTTCAAGGATTCGGTAAAGAATTCGGCACACCAGCACTGAGCTGTAAATGCTGTACAAACATTATTATCATTATGACCGCTTGGGGGATGGGGCACTGCCGAGCGGCATGTGGCCCTGTGTATTTCCAGACGTCTGGCTTCGCCAGGGTGCTTTATGATCCACTTTTCTATACGAGTGACTCAAGCATCCCAGTTCCTGCCAGCGTCAGTAAATTACCCAGCCCACTTGGGCTTCTTCCAGAAGATTCCTGTCTGTCTGGGCCAGTACCCGGCCATGGCAGCCCCCGGGGCTGGACTGAGTGTGCACCTGTCCTGTCCTCTCCTCCGTCTCCGTCCATCTCCTCGGCCCCCAGGGGCAGGAGAGGAAGCCGAGGCCAGTGCCTGGGAGTGCGGCCGCACGCAGTGGACGTCTGCCGCGAGCTGCTCGAGCTGCAAGGCGGTCCCTTCCCAGCTGCAGGCACTTAGCATTCCAGGCCCTGCTAGGATGCTTTATTGCCTCTTTCCAAGTGCTGGCAGGTGCAGATGTAGTACCTGGGGCTGCGCGGAGCTCCTGGCTCTTGGCATCAGAGATGAGAGACCTGTCACCCCTCGATTCATGGGCCGGGTCTGGGAAGCAAGCATGCTGGGGCGTTTCTGCATTTTGCAGGCCATTTTTCTTTGCCTAATTCCTCATTCCTGCCACCCACCTCCCCAGTTCGTGCCCACTATCTTCCTGATTCCCCTGCAAGAGGTGGTGGGCCTGCCCTGTCACCTGAGGGCCACTTTGGGGCAAGGAAGGGAGGAGTCAGATGGGTCTGTCTCCAGCCGGCCACCTGCAACTCAGTTAGCTCCGGGTGTTGTTTTTTTTCTGTACTTTCCTTTTAATATTTCCCAAGGATGGATACCATGGGCTAGGGAGTTAGGCTGAGTAAGCGTGTTGGTACAGACCCTCTTCCCCTCCAGTTTAGGTGACTTTCAAGGTCACCTCCCATCCCAGGCTCATTTTCTTCTGCCGTGGACAGTTTGGGGGATGGTTTAGAAAGCGTCCTGCTCACTTGCCCCCTCGACTATAGTCCCTGGAATAAGAACTTTGAATAAACCCACCACAGGCCTTCGGGCCCAGAGCCCAGAAAATTAGAGCATAAAAAAGGAAGAATTCCTCTGAAGAGGTGGTGCCACGGGGTGCCACGGTGGCCGCCATCTTCTGAGCCCGGCGCTGGGCCCGCAGTACCAGCAGGGGTGTTAAACTCGCCGCTCATCAACTGTTTAGAAAAAAGCTACGCTCAGAAATGTTCAGTAATCTGCCTCCAGTCACATGGTGGGCAAGGGCGGTAGAGAATATCACAGAGAATTCAGATGGACAGCTGATTGCAAAGTTGGTCAAGCTCAGAGAGTGGTGTAGAGGGGAGCGTTCTGGAGATGGGAGGGCCCCCACCCCACCCTATCCCCCTGACTCTGCCAAATGGAGAGCCTGTCCTTGGTCTGGCTTCCTTTTCCACCCTGGGAGAACAGGTGCCTCAGCTCTACCCCTGGATCTGGACCCAGCTTCCAACTGTCATCGTCCCTGATCCCTTTCCTACCCCTGCCCCCTGGTGCCCCCTTGGCTCTGGGGTCTCTACGCCGTCCCTGAACCTGTGGGGCTCTCCTCACCCTCCACTTGGCCTCTCCTGCAAATCTGTCTGGGCTCCCCCTGGGCCAGGGAGTATAAGCCAGACCTGCTCCTCTTTCTACCCCCTGAGAGGAGGGGGACCACACCTTCTCCTAGTCATTCCCTGCCATGAGCCCCCCACGGCCTCCTCCTCACACATTCTTCTGATGTGCCTTGTCCTGTCCAGGGCTTGTCTCTGAGGGGACTGCAGGACATGACCAGGTCATGGGTGGGACCTACAGTCTTACTTGGTGTCAGCAGAGCCTGGACCCAGGCCTGGCAGTCCGCTGCTGCCCTGTCCATCCCCCAACCAGAGGGAGCCCCATTGGCCCTGTCTGAGGAAGTGGAACCTCTCCTGCTGCCACCCGTCTGGGGTAGGGGATCCTAGGTCCCCAGAGCCCACTTCCTCCTCTGGTGCTTGCCACACGATTCGTGGTATTGGGTGTCTGTTGTGAGGGGGCTGCTGTGCCACACTCTGCCGACACTAGCTTGTTTCACCGCACAGAACCTCTGTGAGGCAGGAGTGTTATTATCTGTGATGAGAGGACCCAGTCCACAGATGGGCCTGCCTCCCCCACTAAACTGTGAGCTCTCCTACTATATGTCCCGGTGCCCTTAGCACAACCTGCACAGTGCCCAGCACATAAAAGTAATAAGAGAAATCTGTCTCATTAGTTACTGAATGGCTGGCAAGGAAAGCCCCATCACCCCACTCCAAGATAGGGATGGCATAGGTCTGCAAAGAAGCAGAAGAAGATCTGGGGGTCATAGTGGCCACCACCAAAGCATTTTTTTCATGTGGATTGGCACAGACATGAAGTGAGATTTCTTTTTAAAATTTTTTTAAATTCAATTTTAATTTTAATTCAATTTTAATTTTAATTCAATTAATTAACATATAAAGTATTACTGGTTTCAGAGGTACAGGTCTGTGATTCATCAGTCTTATATAACACAAGTGCTCTTTATATCACATGCCTTCCTTAATGTCCATCCCCCAGTTACCCCATTCCTCCACACCCCACCGCCCAAAGTAATATTTCTTC